TGCTCTGCGTAGACGTCGAGCACCCCCATCAAAAAAAAAAAAAAAAAACTACAAACATTAGGTCTCCCCAGGCACAAACGGGCGTACGTACACACACAGATGTACTCGTACCTACAAAATGTCACCAGCAACATGTTTGCCCTTTATTTTTAATTTATTGGCGGCTCAACGCTTATTCTACTGCTGATCGCTTCCAAAATGTGCGCGCTTCAATTTTACTTCTCGGCACCACTGTACGTACATTTACGCTCATTTGCGCGCCCCGCCGCGGCAAATCTTAGCTCTGAGCCGAGTGTGGATTGTGGTGTGCCAAGCTGGGCAGCTAAAGCGCTAGTTGCGTTTGCTTGCTTGGGCTTTTGGAAGCCTACAAATTCGGTTAATGATTTGTATTCTGATGGACGACGATCAGAACATTTTGTCGTTGTCGCGCCGGTTGTTGTCGCTTGTCTACATTAAAAATGTGTTAAGTTCATTTGAGCAGAGAGTTGCGTCAAAAAAGTACAATGAAGCTCAATACCACGCGTCGTGCAGGAGGCGAGAAACAGAACGGGTGAGGCGAGCGAGCGAGCGATCGATACCCGATTGCGTTTCCCATCAGTGTACAAATCGGTTTTGGGTTTCGCAAACAATAGGCCGCCGTTCACACCGCAACCAACCGCACTCCAGCTTTCACTTAGTGGACTACCTCCCTTTTGGCCTTCCTGTATGCGTATGTATGCTCATGTCCTCCGGCAGTGGGCTTAGTCATACGCTATGCTCTTGCATCTCAACCAACCCACCTCCTGTCCACTCTTGTTACTATCAACGACATCACCGTAGTCGCCGCGCCGATGCCGCCTTTTCAGTATCGCCAACACACTTGCATTGTGGTGATTTATGCCGTGTGAGCTTTTTTCGCCAACAAATTCGCCTTTCGCGGCAAACTAAATCGAAATTTTCATACGACTAATGGGTTCTGCTGAGCACCACACTTTAGCAGCCGTGTACGCCTTGACAAATGCTGCACAGCTACGCATGTTGTTGTTGTTTTTTTTTTGTTCTTACTTCATCATCTGCCCTTCGAAGGGTCCTGC